CATATCAGATATTTACATTACGATTCATAACAGTAGCAAAATTACAGTTATGATGTAGCAACAAAAATAATTTTATGGTTGGGGGTCACCACCACATGAGGAACTGTATTAAAGGGTCGCGGCATTAGGACGGTTGAGAACCACTGCTTCAGGGCCTTTCTTATACTTCTCTACATACACTTGTTTTCATGGACAAGCAGGTTGCTTGCAATGAGAAATGTGATTTGGCGTTCCCACCTTGGGATGGTGAGTAATAGCATCTTCTTTCTGAGGTTGTTTCGAAGACGAAGTGCATTCTCAATACATACGGTATTAGCGATCGCTACCAAGTGTCAAGCCTGATCCAAGGCCTGTCAATTCCAGGACCCAGCTAATGTCCCCTTGGCTGCAAATAAGCCCTTAAATTGGCTCCTGCAAATCCAACAAGAGTGAAGGACGCTATAATTTTGGTGGAGTTGTCAGTCGGTACCCAGTTCTTTGCACCAAATGCTGCCTGATTTTCACTATATCCACAACAACCCTGAGGGCGGGTACTATTATTATTGCTGTTTTACAGAGGAGGAAACTGAGGGCACAGGGAGGTTAAGTAACTTCGTCCAGTTCTTAGAAGCTGGTAGGAGGCATTGCAATCTCAGTCAGTCTGATTCCAAAGCTTGTGTTATAATTCACTGTGTCCCTGGGGCATCGGATGGCAGGATGGGGTTTTGTGACATCCAAGAGGGCCAGGCTCTGAACGGGCTTCAGGGGGGTTGCCTTTTCCAAGAGGCAACACCTACTGTAGCAGTCTGTCCAGGCCTGGCTTCCTCCTCCTTAGTAAAAAGTAGGTAAGGAGAGAGAGGTGTCCTCTTTCCCCACATCATGCTGAGTTTTCTCTCTCCAGAGTCCTTACTCTGAGCACTCATTCTTTGCTACCTGTTCCCTCCCATGTGTAATGGACTATCTCCCCTGTTATAGCCTAAGCTCCCCAAGGAGTAGGATACACGGGCATTATTTGCTTTGTCACTCCCTCTGCAGATTTCCTCCCAGGATCTGGAGGAATGCTTCATATAGTAATGCTTCATAAATATTGCTCTTATGGCCTGACTGGTTTGACTCAGTGGATAGAGTGTCAGCCTGGGGACTGAAGGGTCCCAGGTTGGATTCCAGTCAAAGGCATGTACCTTGGTTGTTGGTTGCGGGCACATCCCCAGTAGGGGGCGTGCAGAAGGCAGCTGATCGACGTTTCTCATCCATGTTTCTAACTCTCTAATCCTCTCCCTTTCTCTCTGTAAAAAATCAATAAAATATGTTTTTTTTAAATGTATTGCTGTTATGAACTGAATGTTTGTGCCCTCCCTAAATTCATAGGTTGAAGCCCTAACCCCCAATGTAACTATATTTGCACATGGAGCCTTTAGAAAGTAACTAGGTTTAAATGAGGTCATAAAGGTGGGGTCCCCATGATGGGATCAGCACCCTGATAAAAAGAGAGATAAGCCCTAGCCAGTTTGCTCAGTGGATAGAGCATCAGTCTGTGGACTGAAGGGTCCCAGGTTCGATTCTGGTCAAGGGCACATGCTCAGGTTGTGGGCTTAATCCCCAATGTAGGGATGATTCTCTCTCATCATTGATGTTTCTATCTCTCTCTCCCTTTCTCTGTGAAATCAATAAAAAATATTTTAACGGCTCCCGCCCGGCTCCCAGGGCTGGTCCCATCCACGTGGTCCTGACCCGCCCTCCGGGAGCGACAGCAACGAGACTGGATTGGGGGCTCCTGCCCGAGCGGAAGCAGGAGACCACGGTTGCCAGTACAACACCGGCTGTCCGCGAGTCTCCTGTGGGGGCCCGCGAGACGGCCGGCGGGTGCCCTTGGCCGCACTTGAACCCTACGTTATGCCTCAAAAAAAAAGAAAAATTAAAAAAAATAATAAAAATATTTTAAAAGAGAGAGATAAGATCTCTCTTTCTCCGTCTCTCTTGCTCTTTCCTCTCTCTCTCTCTGCCATGTAAGGTGGCCATCTGCAAGCAAAGTAGGGAGCCCTCACCAGGAAGTGAATCTGCCAGCACTTTTACCTTGGATTTCCTAACCCCCAGGACCGTGAGAAGTAAATGTGTGTTGGTTAAGTTCCCCAGTCTATGGTATTCTGTTATAGCAGCCTGAGTTGACTAAGATAATTACAGATAGATATATTTTGGGGACTGAATCTTGGCCCCTAATCTTTCATCAATAAACATTTATTGAACATCTGCTAGGTTCCCATTCATTCAACAGATGCTTATTAAGCTATTATTATGTGTTCATTCAACAACATTTATTGAGGGTCTACTGTGTGCCCAGGGTTAGACAACCCCATCCATGTCTTCAAGGAGATATCTCAATCTAGTCGGTACCCCCTGTCTGTCAGCACCCAGAGGGGAAGTGGCTAATTTAATTTATTCACATACATTATCTTTAATGCACAATGATAGTTCCATCAGGGAACTCAGTATACGCAGTTTCTCTTTTTCCAGAACCTTTATCCAAGGAGCTGAGAGTGAGCATAAAGAAGTGAGCCTTAAAAACTACATTGCAGGCCCTAGCCCATTTGGCTCAGCGGATAGAGTGCCGGCCTGCGGATTGAAGGGTCCCGGGTTCGATTCAGGTTAAGGGTACATGCCAGGGTTGCAGGCTCAATCCCCAGTAAGGAGTATGCAGGAGACAGCCGAACAATGATTCTCTCTCATCATTGACGTTTCTATCTCTCTCTCCCTCTCCCTTTCTCTCTGAAATCAATTTAAACCAGCGGTTCTCAACCTGTGGGTCACGACCCCTTTGGCAGTCGAACGATCCTTTCACAGGGGTCGCCTAAATACATCCTGCATATCAGATATTTACATTACGATTCATAAGAGTAGCAAAATTACAGTTATGAAGTAGCAACGAAAATAATTTTATGGTTGGGGTTCACCACAACATGAGGAACTGTATTAAAGGGTCGCAGCATTAGGACGGTTGAGAACCACTGATTTAAACAAAACAAAACAAAAACCCTACATTGCAGACATAGGAGAAATGACAGGAACTAAGATAGATGAATGGTAGCAGACCATGACCTCTGGCCCTTGAACTTAGCCCAACCATCGGATCTCTCTGAACCTTAGTTTCCTATCTGTAAAATGGTGGTTCTCATGCCTGTTTCAGGGCTGTGTGAGGCGGGGAGAGGGTACACAGGGGACTTCCACCAGTGCCTGCTGGGGAGGAGCAGTGCAACAAATGGTAGCTATTGTTATTGAGGAAGCCTGCAACCTTCTGTGAGTGGGACCAGGCACCAAGGACGGAATGATGGAGGGAGTGGGAGCAGGATGACTTATTAACCTCGAGCTGGCAGCCTGATGAACATCTCTCCAGTTGGCACTGTCTTGCCATGCCTGCTGGCTTGCTGTGCCTGCAGGGCTGGGACAGACTATGGGTGGGGTGTTTATTCTGGGAAGCAGCCCTGACTGCTCCTCACACCCTGTGCCAGTGAGAAAGGAGGGCTTCAAGTCAGAACTGAGGCCCCTTCTGGGCCTGGCCTGGCCTGGCCCTTAAAATCCTGACCAACTGCCTAAAGGGCCCGGGGCTGAGAATGCCCAGGAGGCACAGCCCCAAGGATCAGCTGGGTCTTTCAGGGTTGGGACACTCTCCCTGTGGGACTCACCTGGCCCTCAGGGACCGGGTCCTAGAGGGCTGGAAGTACTCTGCTTTTGTAGTTCTGGAGGCCAGGCCTGGATGTCAGCATGGAGGTGACTCTCCAGGGCTGAGAGGTGGGGATGGGTGACCCTGGAGGTGAGGTTGTGACTTCTCTGCTCCTAGAAGAGACCCTGAGTGCTTTAATCAGGGTCAGCTTCCTGATATTCACCCGTGCAGTCCCACAAGTGTGGCACTTAATGTTCTCCTATCACCATCTTGAAATTCTTAATTTTTTGTTGTTGTTAATCCTCACCCCGAAGATATTTACCGCCCCCCCCCCAATGATTTAGAAAAAGTTGGAGGGGGGAGGGAGAGAGGGAAACATCGATATGAGAGAGACACATGGGTTGGTATGTGCTCTTGACTTGGAATGGAACCTGCCACCCTGCCGTGCCCAAGCAGGTGCTCTAACCACTGAGCCATCAGCCAGTGTTAATCATTTATTAACACACGGCCCTGCTATTTTCCTTTTGCATTGGGTCCGGCCAAAGGTCCAAGCCTGTCCAGCCTTCATGCTCTGGTTCCCCTCCAATGGGGCATTTACGCCCACCGCTCGGCCACACCCACCCCTCCAGCAGTGCCCAGGTAAGCGCATTCGGGAAAGGTGGCGGCGGGCTAGCCCCTCGGAATGGCCCAAGGCCTGCGGTGTAAACGGCGGGTATGTCCCTCGACCTTTCTGAGCCTCTGGATGACAACATTGTACTGACCTCGGTTGGACAGTTAGTAAGCACAACAGCCCAACTGCGGGAGGGTTAAGAGAAAAGTTCATACAAAGGGTATGGTGCCTGGTACAGAACCCGCGCTCAATAAAGCAGAACTATTATGTTTTAAAAATGAGGATTATTGCAGGCGCTATCTTGGAGGGAGCCAAAGAGGGAGCGGTCAGCCCCGGATCCCCACGGACCTGCCCCGGGAAGGAGGAGCCGCCCCTCCCGCCTTCCCGGCTTCCCTGGGAGAGACCCTCCGCTCTCTCCCCCGCCCCCTTGCCCGGGGCAGGGACGAGGGGGCGGAGGAGCGGGAGCGACACATTTTTGAGTCGTGACCAAGTGGAAACTCCCTCCCCGAGGCGGAAGCCGGGGGCGCCCCACTGGGGCCGGAGCCTCCGCCGGGGCTGGACTGGCGGCCGGGGGGCCGGGCACGGCGGGGGGCCCGGGGCCCGCCCCTGACCCTCCTCATGAATATGAATGAGCGGCCCGGCCAGCGGAAGCGGGAGGCTAACCCGGCCCGGCTGGTCCCGCCTCTGCCGAGTGCGCGCGGCCGGGGGGCGTGGCCCGGCGGCGAACGCCCCGCCCCTCCGCCCCTCCCTCCCCTCCCGCCCGCCGGGGCCTTTTCCGGCTGGCACGCCCCGGACGTGACCTCGCGGGTGCGCGTTGGAGCCGCCCGCGGGGAGGTGCCTGCGCCCCCAGCACAGGTAGGGCAGTCCTTTGTCCCCGGCGCCACCCCCCGAAAGCCGGGCGCTGCCGCCGGCCCCGGACCGCGGCCCCAGTGCGCGCGGCCCCTCTGGCTGCGGCCCAGGGCGGGTCCGGCCCCTGAGCCAGGCTCCTGGGCGCGCCCGCAGCCCGGGGACGTGGTAGGAACCCTTCGCTCGCCCCGGCGGGCACGGGCACAGGGTAGAGGCTGGGGCAGAAGTCTTGCCCGCAGAGGGCTTGCGGGCCCGGGCGAGGGAGGCCCGCGGGCGCATCAGAACCATGTCCAGTCTGTCAGATGCGCGAGGACAAAGGCGGGGAAGGGCACCGACCGGGCGACTAGGGAAGGCTCTTGGGGGGGATGACTTTTGAGTCAAGAACTGGAGGAAACCAGAGCACCAGCCGGCGCGGGGGGGTAGGGGTGGGGGTGAGGGGGTGCAGTGCCCGTGTGGCTGGAGTGGAATCATGACAATGGCTCACGTGCTGAGCAGGTGCCAAGCCCAGTGCTCGATTCTTTATGCATATTATTCCCTGTCATCATCAGGACAACCTGGACCTGGGCACTGCTGTCAGCTAAGAGGAACTCGGGGTCAGGGAGCCCAAGGAGACTGATGTCATTGCCTGAAACACACCCAAGAGACCCAGGGTGGGGTGACCTTAACCAAGATAGGTTCCCCACGCTACTCCTGTTTCCTCCCAGAGTACCAGAGGGAGGGGCGGTGAGCGACTTGAAGGGAAGGATGGGCTGTCCGGGCCCTTTTTGCTGACAGTCTGCCCCCTCAAAAAACAATTTACCCAGCAGTTGGGGCCCTGAAACCCGGCCTAAAATTAGTGTACAGAACAAAGGTGTGGTAGGAGTTTTCCTGGACAGAAGTCTCTTCTCTCTGTTCTCCTGGGAGAGGCTTTTGTTGTCTGGGAAGCACTTGTCACTCCTCTAGTCCCTGGAGCAGGTACTAGTGGCTTTGGGGAGGGAGGGTAGAACTGGAAGAGGCTGCTGCTGGCGCTGGGCTGGGGGGAAGCCTCGTGCGCTGGAACAGTAACAAAGATGGTGTCAGCCAGGCAGGCTGTGTGTACCCACCAGCAACTGCAGGACAAGCAGCGTCACCGAAACATCCCTGTGAGCCTGGATTGATTAAAGCACAGCCCCAGAGCTCACGCAAGTCTGCACCGGCAAGCAGGTTCTCTGACCACCGACCAGACGTGGTGGAAAGGGCCTCGGGTTTGCCGATCAGGGCTTCCTTTGCTGGCTGTACCCGTCGCTTCTCTGCTGTACAAGTGGAGGATGAAGGCCTGTGGGTTTCTCGTGGAGACCTTTGCTCCAGCCTGGCACAGCTTCAAGTCTTGGCCTTTGGGTTGGGGTGTAAAATGTGGAGGATTAGGAGTGGGACCCAGCCCTGTGAGTTTGAGCCTCAGGAGACCAGTGAGTCAGGTCCTGGTGGTACAGGACCACAGGGGCACTTACTGCTAGGCCATTGGGTAGGTAAGAAGGAGACTCAGAGGTTAAGTGGTTCACCTGAGAGCCCACAGCTATGAAGTAGCAGAGATGGATCCAGGTGCAAACCACTGGAGTCCAGAGCCCAAGCCCTGCCCCTTAGGGAGTGGATTCACCCCAACAGAATATGTGGCCATGTGCTTGCTATAGTGGAGACCCTCCCACCCAACACACACACACACACCACACTCTGTGGGGCCATAGGGATGGGGAAGTGATGATCCCCAAAGGGGACAGAGACACTTTCTATTCTCAGATTCTCAGCTATGCAGTCCCAGGCCTCATCCCTAGGCCTTTGCATCTGGGCTGAATCGGTCTCTCCCTTCTCAGGGTAGACTGGTGTAGGAGGGACCAGAGGCACTGTAGGGGTCGTCTGCCAATGTCTTCTGCCAGGGGCTTCTTCCTGATGAGGTCTCAGTCTTTGGTCTTGGGCCCGGGCCCAAGGGCAGAATGATGCCACCTGGGCACCTGGAACCTACCTGCACGCCCTGGCCTTGAACTAAGGGTGCAGTTGAAGCTATGGCCGCTGAGTGTGAGGGTGCCAGGATGGAGGGAGAGAGGTCTGAGGTGGCACATGTGAGTCATGAGACTTGAGTGAATAGAATGCCAGGAGATGGGAGCTGGTCCCCTCAAATGACCCCTGTGGGCCAGGAGTTGTGAACACTCTGCACATTGCTTCCTGTTGATCTGGTCCCTCCTTCCCTTTTTTCTTCCCTGGAAATATTCTGAGTCTTAGAACCTCAGTGGGCTCTCAAACTCAAGATGCTGACCAATAAATCTGGGGCGAGGTTCAGGGATTTGTTTTTTAAAATATATTGATTTCAGAGAGGGAAGGGAAGAGAGAGGGAGAGATGGAAACATCAATGGTGAGAGAGGATCATTGATTGGCTATCTCCTGCACACCCTCTACTGGGGGTGGAGCCTGCAACTACAGGGCGTGTACCCTGACTGGGAATAAAACGGTGTCCTCTAGGTTCATAGGTCAATGCTCAACCACTGAGCCACTCTGGTTGGGCTGAGGATCTGTATTTTTAACAAGCTCAAGTGACTTGTGATGCATGTGGTCCTCTGACTAGACCTGGAAAACTGCTGTCCCAGGCCTCCCAGCCAGGCCGCTGTGAGGAACCCCTTCCAAGCCTTCTGGCAGATAAGAGACTGGTGTGCCTAATGGTTTTCCACAACTAAAGTTAGATGCATTCTCACTTTGCTGTCATCAACTGAGCTTCTCCCCTGTTGAAAATAAATGATGGAGCCCAGTTGGAGTGGCTCAGTTGGTTGAACATAGTTTTGTGCACCGAAGTGTTGCCAGTTCGATTCCTGGTCAGTGTACGTACCTGGTTGTGGGTTTGATCTCTGGTCAGATACAAACAGGAGACAACTGATGTTTCTTCCTCCCTCTCTCTAAGCATGTCCTCGGGTAAGGATTAAAATAACAATAAATAAATGATGGAGTCTCAAGCAATAGCCCTGTCATTTTTTTAAATTATATTTTATTGATTTTTTACAGAGAAGAAGGGAGAGTTAGAAACATCGATGAGAGAGAAACATCGATCAGCTGCCTCCTGCACATCTCCTACTGGGGATGTGCCCGCAACCCAGGTACATGCCCTTGACCGGAATCGAACCTGGGACCTTTCAGTCCGCAGGCCGACGCTCTATCCACTGAGCCAAACTGGTTTTGGCAATAGCCCTGTCTTTAACCTTCCCCTGCCGAGTATCTCCAAAGATCCGGCTACCCTGGGTCACCCACTTATTTCTGAGCTCCTTGCTCTGTCCCGAGCTCTCCCCTCAAAGCACATCATGCCAGATTCTGTTATGTCCTAAAGCCCCATGGTCCCTGAAACAGGTGTTCCCCTAAGGTTCCATCTTTGGACCTCTTCTGCTTGACAGGTGTCCTCATTTGAAGAGCAAAAGGGAGAGGAACACTTCTAATCCAGAGCCCCCAATATTTATACCCAGCCTCTGGGGGGTGCCAGCCCCACTTTTTTAGGGGCTACCTTAATGTCTCCCCTAGGCCAGCCCACTGGAGCTCTTCCAAATAGCCTCTTTGATTTGAGGGGAATCTAGCCACATCTGTCACTTAGGGTGGTCCAGCTGGGTGGGACTGTCTGGCTCCTTCCCGAGCTGCAGACCCTGAGAGAGAAAAGAGGGCCTGCCATCTCAAGAGAGCCCCTCTTAGTAGCCAGGCTTCCCTGTTGGAAACTTCTGACTTCTTGTTGCTTTCCCTGTTAAAACCATTAGTCCTGGCTTATCTTCCTGACCTCGCCTCTGAGCCTCCACCCCCATTGATGTCTGTTCTAGTGCCCCAGACTTGCAGCCCCAGGATCTCTTCATACCCTACCAACCTACCCCACCCTGCCATGGCACTATAGTCCCCTTTTTGGGGGTCTTTGAAACTTACCATCAGCCTGCTCGCTTTGCTCAGAGCCAAACACAGCCCAGGGATGTATGACGAGCACTTTGGACTAGTTTGTCTGTTGCCTACTCAGAGACTGCCCAGCTCTGCTCCATACTGCATTGGGCCACACTGCCCCTGCCTGGAGTTAGGGGTGTTGGTTCAGACCCTGATTTTGCCCTAACCAGGCTCATGACCCGACAGATTCCTTGAGCCCTCAGTTCCTGTTTCCTCCTCTCCAGTGTGGAAGGTGGTAGTAATAGTCCTGACTCCCAAGGCTCTTGTGAGGACTGACATTATGTGGCTTCATCTCTGAGGGTCCTTGGAATATAATATTTCCTGATCTGTGTCATGTTATTTAATCCTCAAAACTACCCTGTCAGATAGATTGTTGCTGTCAGGCCCATTCTGTAGATGAGAGGGAGGCTCAGAGAAGCCAAGTGATTTGCCCAAGAGCACAGCTAGCTATAAAGCAGCAGAGGTGGGATTATTCTAATGCAAATCATTTCACGCCAGAGCCCAAGTTTCTAACCACTAACAGCTCTACCCCTGTACCCCTGTGCTATGGCTTCTCTTTCTTCATCTTGAGTTCATTCATTCAAGAAATATGGTTGGCATGTCTACTACCTAGGGATATAGCAGGGAATGGACAGAGGAGGCTCTGCCCTTATGGAGCTTACATCTTGGTGAGGACACATCGGAAGAAATGGATAGGAACTATACATACTTGCCCAAGGCCTCTCTTCCTCACTGTCTGACCTGGGGGCACAGACCAGGACCCCCTATCTCGCCTCCTTACTGTTTCTTGCACCTGAAGTCCTCAGGAGGTAGACATTGGCTGAATTGGACTGGTGTAGGTTTGACCCTTGTGGAGGTGGAAGCGGATCACAGCATGCCGGGGTCCAACCCCAGCAGGTCCAGGGGTCCCCAAAGGTGTGGATGGAGTCAGCGAAGAAGGAATGACACAGAGACAGCGTTCAGTTGATCAGCAGCCTAGCCAGGATCTCTAGCCAGGATCTCCAGCCAAGTTCTGGTCTGGATCTCCAGCGAAGTTCTGCTTAGGATCTCCAGCCAGGTTCTGTGTCCATGTTCTCTTGCTAGGTTCTCCAGGTTCTCCAGCCAGGTTCTGTAGCCATGTTCCCTCGCTAGGTTCTCCAGCCAGGTTCTGTCCAGGTTCTCCAGCCAGGTTCAGTCACCAGGTTCTAGTCAGGTTCTCTTGCCAATTTCTGTAGTCAGGTTCAGTCCAGGATCTTTTGCCATGTTCTCTCCAGCAAAGTTCTTCTGTCTGTAGGTTCTGTGTAGGTTCTGTCTTCTTAGTTCTGTGTTCTAAGCTCTGTATTCTAAGTTCTGTGTTCTAAGTTCTGTGTCTTGCTGTCTTGTTACATCTGTATTTATACCAGTTGATTCAATCCTATCAATCTCTATTACAAAGGTTAGGGCGTTTCTTATCTCCATTCCAGGGAGTAAAGATTATGTAGCTTAAGCATGATTGTTCATAGTTAAAGTGATTAATTACCCGCCTGGCACTCAGTTGAGGGGTTTTATTCCCTCCCTAACTTCAGGGGAAAATCCCTACCTGGGGAAACAACCTTTCTCAGAGAGGAGACCTTGGTTAAAACACATAGTGCCAAGGTGAGCAAACATATTAAGAACAGTATGCCATATATGCCAGGTCCCTTGAAACAGCAAGCATGGACCGGCTCCCGGCAACAGCAGGACCTGGTGTAGGGCTTGAAGGCCTTGGAATCCTAAGGGGATGGGGGCAGTGGCAGTGCTGGCATGGAAGGAATGGGAGTACAGTTGGGCACCACCATCTAAGCCAGGCTGAGGATACACTTTATTAGGGAACTACAAATCAAAACCATACTGCTTTACACCCACCAGGATGACTATAACAAAAAAAGAGAAACAATAATAAGTATCAGGAAGATAGGGGGCAGTTGGAACCCTCACATTGCTGGTGGCAATGTCAAATGGTGCAGCCATTTTGAAATAATCTTGCAGTTCCTCAACATAGAGTCACCATTTAACCCAGCACTTTCACTTCAAGAGAATTGAAAACATATGTCCAGGCAAAAACTTGTACATGGGTGTTCATAGCAGCATTATTCTTTTTTTTTTTTTTAATTAAATCTTTATTGTTCAGATTATTGTAGCAGCATTATTCCCTTGACTAGAATCAAACCTGGGACCCTCCAGTGTGCAGGCCGACGCTCTATCCACTGAGCCAAACCAGCCAGAAGCAGGAAACAACTCATATGTTCATCAACTGATGAGTGGGTAAACAAAATGTGGTCTAGCCATACAATGGAATATTATTCAGCCATGAAAAGGAATGAAGTTCTGATAGATGCTACAACATGAATAAACCTTGAAAACATTATGCTGAGTAAAGAAGCCTTACACAAAAGACCACATATTGGATGGTTCCATTTCTATAAAATGTCTAGAATAAGTAGATCAATAGAGATGGAAAGTAGACTACTGGTTGTCAGGGGTAGTGGGCACAGGGATTGGAGAATACTGTTAATGGATGCAGGGTTTCTTTGGGGGGTGATGAAAATGTTCTAAAATTGATTGTGTTTAAAAAAAATTTTTTTAAATCAATTTTGGAGAGGAAAGGAGAGGGAGAGAGAGATGGAAACATCAATGACGAGAGAGAATCATTGATCGACTGCCTCCTGCACACCCTGAACTGGGGATTGAGCCTGCAACCTGGGCATGTGCCCTGACCAGGAATCAAACTGTGACCTCCAAGTTCACAGGTCAACACTCAACCACTGAGCCATGCCAGCCAGGCATAAAATGTATTGATTTCAGAGAGGAAGAGAGAGATAGAAATATCAATGATGAGAGAGAATCATTGATTGGCTGCCTCCTGCATGCCCCCTACTGGGGATCGAGCCTGCAACCATGTGCTCTTGACTAGAATTGAACCTGGGACCTTCCAGTGTGCAGGCCGATGCTCTATCCACTGAGCAAAACCAGCCAGGGCTGAATTATATACTTTAAAATGGTAAATGGTATGGTATGTGAATTACATCTCAATAAAGCTCTTACTCAAAAAATATTAACCAGACTTTCCTGCATTAATGCTGACAGAAGGCACCAGGAAGTGGATTCAAGAACTTGCTGAGTGATGGGGGAGAATCTTTGTGGTTACATTGCTGTAATTCTCATGAAATGGTTGTGGAGAAGTGATTGTGGAGGAGGCCTTGATTCATCCTTAAGGCCTCAGCTTATGTGATATCCCTGAGCTTGCCCGCCCCCCCTCCCCACAACCTCATAACCATCCCTTTGTCACTTGCCATCACTCTTAGTCCCTTCTTTCCTCTTTAGCACTTCCCACACTTGGAATTATTTTCTGTGGAGCCGATTTTGTCTGACTCTTGCTGGGCTGAGTTCCATGAGGCCAGGGGCTTGTCTGTGTCTGGTTTACCCCACAGTAGGTGTTCAATAAATACCTGTAGAGTGAATGAACCCATACAGGGTAGGGAAAAAGTAGTTTATAGTTGTGAGGACCTGAAACACAAAGTCTATTCTTGTATTATTATTTATTAATTATTGTATTATTTCCTATACAAACAATTGTAAACCCACGTTTGCCCCACCCTGTATATACTGATAACTGGGGGAGGTCTGGGCTAGGGTCCATGATTGCTGCAAGGGAGGGGGTGAGCAGAGTGGATCAGGGTGTCTCCTGGCCCCAGTGGCTTTCTTTTTCTCTCTGTTTCAGTTCCAGGAGAATGTCTCTGGAAAGGAAGCCCAAAGCCTGGTCTGGCTGGGAAGAGGGGAGCGGGGTGGGGAGCAGGAATGGGGGCTGGGCGGGCCTGGGGAGGAAGTCTGCAGCCCCAGGCTGCCGAGGGCGTGGTGTCTGTGTTTGCACCTTTGGAATGTGGCTGATTCACTCTGGGGAGAGCCATGTGCAGCCACTGTTGCTGCCTTGGATCTGACATCTGGAGGCTGAATTCCCGGAGGAGACAGATTCTTGCTAAGCAGATGCCAACTTTGAAGGTCAAACTGAGTGATGGAGGTGCTTTAGAAGGAGGTCCAGAGGCTCCCTCCCCCCTACCCTCCCCCCCCCCGCCCCCCAGTATTCTGGGAGAGAGGTGAGGCCCCATCCCCAGCCGTGTTCCAGCCCCTAAGCTACCAGAGCTCTGCAGTCAGACCTGTGTTCAAAGGTCAGTTACTTAACAATTCATATAACAGCAAAGGCCGAGGGCCTGGCTGGTCAAGTGCTCAGCAGTGGTGCTGGGACATTGGATTGCATCGCTCCGTCCAGTAGGCTTTCTGTCACCCAGCTTGGCTCTCCCTGAGTTCCAGCAAGGCCCCAGGCTTCCCTCTTGTTGGGTCTCAGCTCATCCCTGACGCTGATTGGACAGGTCTGGGTCAGGAGCTTACTCCAGCCCAGGGTAGACACCCCTAGTGCCACACAGGGAAAGTGGGAGTGAGGGGTCCCCCAAAGGAACCAATGCCAGGATGTGGGCAGAAACAGCACGCAACCCCACTCGGCTCAGCTGCCTCCATAGGACTGGCTTCTGGGGCTCATGGCAGGCACTGTGCTCGACTTCATGGCTCTTACCTACTGAGTATTCCGCTGGCTATGTTCCTTAAGTTCTCAAAAGTTCATTTTTCTTTCTTTCTTTCTTCTTTCTTTCTTTCTTTCTTTCTTTCTTTCTTTCTTCCTTTCTTCCTTTCTTTCCTTTCTTTCCTTTCTTTCCTTTCTTTCCTTTCTTTCCTTTCTTTCCTTCTTTCCTTTCTTTCCTTTCTTTCCTTTCTTTCCTTTCTTTCCTTTCTTTCCTTTCTTTCCTTTCTTTCCTTTCTTTCCTTTCTTTCCTTTCTTTCCTTTCTTTCCTTTCTTTCCTTTCTTTCCTTTCTTTCCTTTCTTTCCTTTCTTTCCTTTCTTTCCTTTCTTCTTTCCTTTCTTTCCTTTCTTTCTTTCCTTCCTTCCTTCCTTCCTTCCTTCCTTCCTTCCTTCCTTCCTTCCTCTCACCGGAAGATATTTTTTTCCATTGATTTTCAGACAGAGTGGAAGGACCTGGGGGAGAGAGAGAAACATTGAAGTGAGAGAGACACATCAATTGGTTGCCTCCCTCAGGTGCCTGGTATCAAACCTGCAGCTGAGATATGTGCCCTTGACTGGGAATTGAACCTGAGACCCTTTGGTCCATGGGCTAGCTCTAACCACTGAGCAACTGGCCAGGGCAGAAGCTCATTTTCTTATCTATGAAATCTCATAGGCTTCTTTTAAAGATTGAATTAGTAAGTGAAAATCCCTTGGTACCTGCTTGGCCCACAGGAGGCAAGGTGCTAACATGTCTAGTTCCCTTTCTCTTCCCTGTATCTAGATATTATGCGATCTGCTCTGTGATGGTGCAGGCAGGTGTGTGAACACGTGTGCACACATGTGTATGTGTGTACACGTGTGCACATGCATGTAGCATGCCCTTTTCTCTCCTCCAAGGAGTTCTGTATTGTTTGGCTTTCCCCCAGAGGCTTAGGGACTATATAGGACAGAGGGTAGAGACAGGAGGGAGAGGGAAGGGGTTGAAGGAGAAGTGTATGGGCCTCCCTTGCTGGTCTGCAGGCTCAGGCCTGCCTCTGGGAGTCACCTTGCTATTCCCTCAGTTCTCCCTGGGGCTGGAGGGGGCCCAGGCTCTGAGGAGTGGCTGCCTCCGTCCCTCCCATGTCACGTTAAATGCATGTTGGTCATTTGACATTGGGGGACAGCACTGAAACAGGCTTGCTGATCTCATATTCTCTCCTCTAGAACCCTGGAACCTGGGGGTGAATCAGAGAGGAACCCAGGCTTGGGGCTTCTCAGAAGAAGAAACTGGTGCTCAGAGTATTCTCAGCCTCTGGACGCCTCGGAGAAACGGGCTTCTGGGGAGGCGGAGAGCAGGCCTGCTGTAAGCTTTTCCAGCTTTTGTCAACTGAGGTAAAGCGCCTGTCAGACTCTGCCTGGGCCGTGGAGCACTAGGCCGCGTGTTCCGCCTCCTTGGCTCAGTGTCTTCCCCTCCTGCCGGTCCCGCTTGGTGCCACACCTCTGAGCCGCCCCAGGCTGTGGGTGCCAGCTCATCCCCACCCAACCACCCAAGTCCTTCGACTCTTCCCAAACGCCACCACGTGCATCTGTGGTTTTTCTCATCTCCATGGCCATTCTGGCGTTTCATATAATGGAATCATGCAATATGGGACCCTTCGTGTCTGGCTTCTTTCACTGAGTGTCATGTTTTCAAGGTCCATCCATATTGTAACACCTGTCAGTACTTCATTCCTTTTTTTGTTAATCTTCACCCGAGGATATTTTTTCTATTGATTTTTAGAGAGAATAGAAGGGAGGGAAAGAGATAGAGAGAGAAACATAGATGTGAGAGAGACACATCTATTGGTTGCCTCCTACACATACCTCAACCCAGGGCCAGGGTAGGTGCCCTTGACCAGAATCGAACCCACAACCCTTCAGTCCTTAGGCCAACGCTCTCTAACCACTGCTCAGGGCTTAACCCGCTAGGGCAGTACTTCATTCTTTTTAATGGTCAAATAATATTCCATTGTGTGGATAGATCAGAATTTGTGTATTCATTCATTGATCAATGGATGTTTGTGTTGTTTCTACCTTTTGTGAATGATGCTGCTATTCCTGTATAGTTTTTTTGGTAAAGATGAAGGTTTTCAATATAAGTGCTTTTTTTTTTTTTTTAATCCTCACCCAAGGACATGCTTAGAGAGTGGAAGGGAGAGAGAAGAGGAGAGGAGAGAGAGAGGGAGAGAAAGAGAAGAGAGACATCGATGTGAGAGAAACATTGACCAGCTGTATATGTGCCCTTACTGGGAATTGAACCCCCAGCCTTTCTTGGTGCATGGGATGATGCTCCAATCAACTGAGCACTCTGGCTGGGCTCAATATAAGTGTGTTGGGTTTTTTTTTGACAAATACTTCATTTAATCCTCACAACAGCCCTGTGTGTCAGTGCTGGCACGCTCTCCTCCTGCAGATAAGGAAACTGAGGCTCAGAGAGGTGAGTCTAGGTCACACAGCTGGAAGCACTGGGATTCTCTAGCTCTTGGCCATCAGGCCCCATGATGCCTACTGAGGTGTTTCGGTTCGTTTTCAGCAGAGCCTTGCCAAGTGCTATCCCACAGTAAATATTGCTTATTCTTCCATGAAGGCTCATGCAGAACTGAAGCCCCAGATGTGCTCCATGCTCTATCATGGTGAGTGCCAGTCATGTGCTCAGTGGTAATCCTATGGCTCCACAGAAGCACCTCAGGTGGTTATGGGAAGTCCCTACTGTTGCAGATTCATCCACACATCTGGGACTGGGCATTTCCTGCTGCCTCTGAATACATTTTCAGCCTGCTTGCTTTTCTAGGGGTCCCAAGGCTGTCTTTCATCTCTTGCCTTGGATTTGGCACACAGACATGTGTTTACCTGCTGGCGACCTTTGCTTCTTCCACCTTCCTTCCTTGTCATACAAGCCATGGTTCAAGTCGGCTCTGCCACTCTGGCTATGTGGCTTCAGGCAAGTTTCTCAACCTCTGAGCCTCTGTTTGCTCATCTGTGGTGGAGGAGTCATAATACTACCTATTGATGCACTGATTAGGTGGCTGTGGAACTAAGAAAAGGGAGATGAAGCCCGGCCGGTGTGGCTCAGTGGTTGCGTGTCGACCCATGCACCAAGAGGTTGCTGGTTTGATTCCCGGTCAGGGCACATGCCCAGGTTGTGGGCTTGATTCCCAGTGGGAGTGTGCAGAAGGCAGCTGATCGATGTTTTCCCTCATGTATGTTTCTATCTTTTCCCCTCCCTTCCTCTCTCTGTAAAAATCAATAAAAAAAAATCTTTAAAAAAGACAAGGGAGCTGTGCCCACTCAGTATCCAATTCCTCACACACACTTGGGAAGCCACCCGTCTCTGGTCATTCCTCCCTGCAAAGGCAGGCTGGCACCTGGCCCGGGGAGGGGGCAGGAGCTTTGTGTCTCTCCCTGCCCCGGGACAGTGGGAGGCTCCCATGACTCAGTTCTGCCCAAGGAGGGGGAAGTCAAGGCCAGGCCTCTGAGGTAGGGAACCTAAGGGACCTCCCTGTCCTCCTCACTCTGCTCTCTGCCCATCTCCCCATCTCCCATCTCCCCATCCAGTGCTTCCGGCAAAGCAGGGCAGGGCCCAGTGCATTCTCTGTTGGTTGTCTTGGCCCGGTCCTCCACTCCGTCCCTAGATCTGCAGCACAAACCTGCTGCCCGGTGGACCACCCTGAGTGGGTGCTATTGCCCACAGCCAGAGGGTGGAGAGGCATTCGGAGGGGATGTGGATCAAGGATGGGAAGACCTCTAGTCGCCAGAGTGGAGCCTTCAGCTCCTGCCAGGGAAACCCTCCCAGCTGCTGCTTAGCCTTTCCCAGCCCTGCCCTCCTCCTTAGCTGCTCACATTTCAGCTTCTGAGTTACTGGCACCACCTTGTGCTGCTGAGGCCACCGCACCAGACAGACGTTAACCCCCCACGTGCTGGCAGTGGGCTCCCTGGAAATAGCGCAGGGGCTCGGGGTCCACAGGGGCTGAGGGAGGAAATAGCTGAAACCAGTCCCTGTGCTCTAGCCTGGCTCCCCTGCTGGGCTTTATCCTGCTCCCTCCTCCCTGTCTGCCCAACTGAAAGCGAAGCCTCCCTGACCCCTAGGGGTTGTTCCTTTGGCTGCCGGGACACTGACAGTCGGCCACGGGATGTGGTGTCTCTATCACCAAGTACTTGACCTTGTCCTTTCTTGTAGACTCTGTCTTCTCCCTCCATATTTCTTGCCACACCCAGCTGGGCTCCCCTCTTGCACCTGGACCACTAGTCCCAGCCAGTCTTGAGGCCGTAGGAGGTTGTGAGGAGCCTGCAAGGAGCCAGGTGCTGGCACCGACTAGCTGGGACAATCTTGGGCAAGTCCTTGGGGTATTGGATCACAGACGTGGGTGCTGTAGTGAGGATGAAAAGGGGAACTTGAGGAAAGCCTCCAGAGCATCAGCTGGCACTTAGAGGCACTCAAGGACTCCTGCCCACATACACGTGGGCCTCCCCCACCACACACACAGTCCGGAGAGCGACTGTTTCCTGGCTGCCTCACCCCTCATAGCCTCTCAGGCCTGCTTTCTCATCAGAGCAGACCTCTGTCCCTCCCCTGCCCTGGCCATTCCCAGCCCAGCCCCAGCCTTTTCCATCCGCAGGCAGGACTGGACATCCTGCCTTCTCTCCCTCACCTCGCTCTTCCTCTGAGGAGCTTCAGCTGCCCAGAGAGACATTGGGCACCTCCTCTGAGCTCAACAGCAACCTCAGTTGTCCTCGTCCCCTATCCCTCTGATTTGGACCTTTCTCCTGAACCCAAAATGCTCCCTCCTGGTTTCTTGTGGCCCCTTTGATGATCCTTTACCCTCCCTGCCACACCTCCTTGGTCCCTGGGCTGATTTACTCTCCTTTTATATTGCCCCAGGCCCCTGCGCTCTCTCCTCCCCTCCCCTGCACTCATGGGAAGGGCCCAGAGGGAGTGTCAGGTCCCAGCTTTCCAGCTATGCCATGCCTCAGGTTCCTGTCTTCTGGGTGGGATCTTCACAGCTGAACTTGTGTTTACCGAGATCAATTGAGGTAGCGGTCAGCCATTTCATTTTTTTAAGAAAAAAAATATTTTTTATTCATTTTAGAGAAGAAGGGAGAGAGAGATAGAAACATCAATGATGAGAAAGAATCATTGATTGGCTGCCTCCAGCACTTCCCCCACTGCAGATCGAGCCCGCAACCCATGCATGTGCCCTTGACTGGAATCGAACCTGGGACCCTTCAGTCCGCAAGCCGACGCTTTATCTACTGAGCCAAACCAGCTAGGACAGCCATTTCATTGAAAACCGAGATAGTCCAGACAGGTGGCCATATGTTGAGTTTTTATTAAGGGAATGCACCTCACTGAAGCAGGCATACCTGGTTCCTCCTTGTTCACATGGTGAAAAGCAGAGATATTTCCCTGGGGCAAGTCCCTCACGGAGGGAGGTGGAGGAGCTGAGTGCTGACCATGGAGGGAAGCCAAGAGGGATGAGGGCAGGAGCCCACTCCAGTGGGCTGTAGTAACGGGCCTGAAAGTAGGAAACAGAACAGAAAGGGGGGCAGAGGACACGGGACACATCACAGGTAGACTCCAGGCCCCCCTTTTTATTCTCACCCAAGGATATGTTTGTTGATTTTAGAGAGAGGGGAAGGGAGAGAGACAGAAACATCGATGTGAGAAACATTGATCTGTTGTCTCCTGTACGCACCCCAACCGGGCATTGGATCTGAAACCTAGTTATGTGCCCTGACCAGGAATCGCACCCATAACCTTCTTGGTGTACGGGATGATGCTCCAACCAACTGAGCCATCCAGTCAGGGCTCTAGCCCCCTTTTCAAGATCTTGCTTATGAGCAAAGTGAGTGAGATCGGGCTGGACAAAGGAAGTGGGCATCTGGAGGGCAGGACCTTTTGAGCCTTCTGAATAAGCCCAGTGCCTCCAAGATCATTAAGGCCTTGGGGGTGCCGGAGGCTGGAGAACCAGCCACTCCACCCCAATCTCTGCCTTGGCTTCTCTAAATATGTTCACTCCGCTTGCTCTCCGAGGATCCTTTGTGCCAGGCGCCCTCTGGTGGTCGGGGGACCCCAGCCTTGTTGGCCCAGAGATCTCTGTGTCTAGGGTAGGACAGGAGACCAGGGCTTTGGGGGATATTGGGATATGCTCCAAACCCCTGCACGAGTGTCTGGCCCCATTCTGTTTTCCTTGGAATATTCAGGATCCCCTCCCAAGCAGGCGCTTTTTGCTTCCATGGGGCCTTCATTCCTGACCCAAGAACTTGTATCCACACTCCACACCCCATCTCCTAAACAGGTTGGGGCCCCACATGTACTAGAGCATGCTGGGGTCTGAAAGGCCATCTGTTCACCTGATCCCTCCCCGCCCCCGCCCCCCCTCCACACACACATTCATGGCATATTTGCTTAGAGGAAAAGCCTCAAAATAGGACTGGGACTCTAGATTCCTGTTTAGGTTCCATCTCCATTTCTCTGTATGTTATTAGGGAAGTCCCTTAACTTTCTCTGCACCTCCTTCATGTTTCCCTCATCTGTAGTAACAGAATTCTTCTAAGGCCCCCAATGACCTTTGCCCTTATATACTCCCCTTTCATGGAGTGGGCAGAACCTGTGAATAGAGCATCACTCCCATGATTAGATTATGCTATATATGCATAGTTGACCTTGAGATAGAGACATTATCCTGATAATGTCAGGCCAACAATATCCATAAGTTTGACCTAATCATATGAGTCTTTTAAAAATAGAGAGTTTTCTCTGGCTGCTTCTGGAAGGGGAAATTGGAGAGATTTGAATCGAGAGAGGGATTCATGCCTGGGACATTCTCTTGTTCAGATGGAGGAGGCCAGGGCACAAGGACCTGAGGATGGCTTCTAGGAGCTGAGAGCCAACCCCAGCCAGTAGCCAGCAAGCCAATGAGACCTCATTCTACAGCCAAAGGGAACTGAATTCTGCCGACGTCCAGTGAAGTTGGAAGAGGACCAGAACTCCAGATGAAATCAAAGCCACAACTGACACCTCAATTTCAGCTGGTGAGACCCTGAACAGGGAACCCAGCCATGCCATGCCTGGCTTTCTGACCTCCTGAACTGTGAGATGATAAACAGGTACCGTTTTAAGCCAATAAATATGTGGAAATTTATTACACGGCAACAGGAAACGAATACATCATTTGTCCAAAGAGAAGAATCATATTTTAGAAACATGTAAGATAAAAATGAGAAAAGTCCATATTACCCTGCCCCCCAGTGCTGCTGTGTAGAGTGAAAATCTGCAGCAGCTTCTGTATTTGCAGTCCCCCCTCCTGGCTGCGATTCAGCACGCATTCTTAGGGTTCATATCTTTCATCTGAGTGTCCAACCATTCTGGATGAGGGCACGTTTGTTTTGAGAAGGGCTGTGCTAATGGCACCATCAGAGCAGCCAGATCCCACTTTGGCTGAAGAAAGGAACTCTGGAACCCTCTACTGGAGGGGATCCCTGGACTTTGGCCATCTTTAGGGTCAATAAAGCCATTTAAAAATAACAGCTTTATTAGATACGACTCACCCATCTGAAGTGTAAACTTGAGTGGTTGTAGTATATTCAGAACTGTGTAACCATCACCACAACCAATTTTAGAACATTCTCTCATTGCCCCGGAAGAATCCCCCGATTAGCACTCGCCCCTCATTTCCTCCTAATGCCCCCTCATTCCTTTGGCAACCACTAATCTTTCTATCTCTATAGATTTGCGTATTCTTGACATTTCATGTAAATGGAATCATACAGTGTGTGACCTGTGTCTGGCTTCTTTCACTTAGTATCATGTTTCCAGGGCTCATCCATGTTGTGGCATGTGTCAATATTTCATTTCATTTTTTTTTTTGGTACTTCATTGCTTTTTACGACTGAATAATATTCCATTGTGTAGATGGACCACTTCTTGTGTATCCATTCCTCATTAAAGCCTGTTGATGACTCTCATTCACTCCTTCTACATGGAATTTGGGGCGGGGCTGTGGGGAGGGGAGCAAAGGGGAGGGAAGGGCGCTGAGTGCCAGCTCAGTAGATGATCTGCATTTCTAACAGGGATCATCCGTGGGCATTTCATTAATTACACTCTTTAAAGAGATGTAATTTTTTAAAGGGCTAGCATTCTGCGGGCTGATTTTCACACCACTCGATCCTCTGTGCAGTTGTCGCTGCTGTAAAGCAGGTGAGCCCCATATTCAACGTCAACCTTACAACATGGCTGTCCCTTTCACCTGCAGCAAGTTTTTTTTTTTTTTAAATATATTTTATTGATTTTTCACAGAGAGGAAGGGAGAGGGATAGAGAGTCAGAAACATCGATGAGAGAGAAACATCGATCAGCTGCCTTCTACACACTCCCCACTGGGGATGTGCCTGCAACCAAGGTACATGCCCTTGACCGGAATCAAACCCGGGACCCTTCAGTCCGCAGGCTGACGCTCTATCCACTGAGCCAAACCGGTCAGGACCTGCAGCAAGTTTTATTTATTTTTATTATTTAATATATTTTTATTGATTTCAGAGAGGAAAGGAGAGGGAGAAAGAGATAGAAACATCAATGATGAGAGAGAATCATAGATTGACTGCTTTTTACACACCCCACACCGGGGATTGAGCCCGCAACTCAGGCATGTGCCCTGACCAGGAATCGAACCATGACCTTCTGGCTCATAGGTCAATGCTCAACCACTGAGCCACTCTGGCTGGGCCACCTGCAGCAAGTTTTAACAGGGAGATAGGGCCGGGGGTTTGGCCTCTCCTCTGTCCCTCCTTGCACATCACCAAACTCTGTCATTCTCCCTGGGCCAGCTCAGACACCTCTGGCCACCACCCCCCATGGCAACCTGGTACCAGTGATATATCAACTACACTAATGATGCCAGGTCTGCCACTAACTTCTCGTGATAGCCTGCAAGCTAGGTGCTGTACGACCTCTGTTTTACAGATGAGGAAACTGGGTAAGGTTGAGGAACTTGCCTGGAGTCACCTTGGAGCTGGGGTTCAGGCAGAGTCTGGATTCTGAACCACACTGTGTAACTACTAGTCCTTTCTGGAACTGTTGTCCAAAGAGCAGGGAGTGTGTGTAGACAGATGAGGGAGGTCTGAGGACTGTGGCCCCAGGGGGTAGCCTCCCAGATGCCAAGAAAAAAAGAATTTCAAGAAGGTCAGATATGGTGAAGACAGAAAACAGAGCCCTTCGGAGGTCACCAGTGACTTTAGCAAGAGCAGTTCTTATGAAGTTGGTTTTCCAATTTTCCCAGCACCATTTATTGAAGAGGCTTTTTTATTTTTTTACACTCCATTGTGTGTTTCTGTCTCCTTTGTAGAAAATTATTTGCTCATATACATGTGGTTTTATATCTGTGCTCTCAATTCTGTTCCATTGATCTGTGTGTCTTTTTTTCCTCTGCCAACACCATACTGTTTTGATTATTGTAGCTCTGTAGTATAATTTGAAGTCAGGTAGTATGATACCTCTGGCTTCATTCTTTTTTCTCAGAATTGCTTTGTCTATTCGGGGTCTTTGGTGGTTCCATACAAATCTAATGATTTCTTGTTATATTTCTTGAAAAAATGACATTGGGATTTTTATGGGGATTGCATTCAATCTGTATATTGCTTTGGGTAATGTGGCCATTTTAACTATGTTGATTCTTCCAATCCATGAACATGGGATATTTTTCTATTTTGTTGTCTTTTTCAATCTCTTTTAATAATGCTTTGTAGTTTTCAGTATATAGGTTTTTTATATGCTTTGTTAAGTTTATTCTTAGGTATTTTATTCTTTTGGTTGCAATTGCAAAAGGAATTTCTTTTTCTGAAGTTTTATTGTTAGTCCATAGGAAGGCAGTAGATTTTTGTACACTGACTTTGTATCCTACAACTTTACTGTATTTGTTGTTGTTTCTAATAGTTTTTGTGTGTGGCATCTTTAGGGTTTTCTATGTGAAGAATCATGTTATCTACAAAAAGGGACACTTTTACTTCTTCCTTCCCGATCGGGATGACTTTTATTTCTTTCAGTTGCCTATTGCTCTGGCAGAACTATCTATACTAATAAAAGGGTAATATGCTAATTAGACTGGGAGACCTTCCGGACATCCTTCCAGACAAAGCCATGGTGGCGGGGCTGAGGCAGAGGCGGTTAGGGGAGATCAGGCCAGGAGGGGAGGGCAGTTGGGGACGATCAGGCTGGCGGGGGGGGGGGGGGGCGGGGGGGGGCGGGCAGTTGGGGGCGAGCATGCCAGCAGGGAGGGGCAGTTGGGGGTAAGCAGGCTGGCAGAGGGGACAGTTGGGAGTGATCAGACCGGCAGGAGGGGCAGTTGGGGGTGAGCAGGCTGGCAGGGGGGAGCAGTTGGGGGTGAGCAGGCTGGTGGGAGGGGGGAGTTGGGGGTGAGAAAGCCAGTGGGGGGGAAAGTTGGGGGCGAGCAGGCTGACTGGCAGAGTAGTTATGGGCGATCAGGCAGGCAGGCAGGTGAGTGGTTAGGAGCCAGCGGTGCCAGATTGTGAGAGGGATCCCAGATTGGAGAGGTTGCAGGCCGGGCTGAGAGACACCCCCCACACACACAAATTTTGTGCACCGGGCCACTAGTCTATATAATAAAAGCCTAAGCAACCATTACGGCAGAACGACCAGTTGCTGTGACATGCACTGACCACCAGGGGCAGATGCTCAATGCAGGAGCTGCCCCCTTGTGGTCAGTGTGCTCCCACAGCGGGAGCGCTGCTTAGCCAGAAGCTGGGCTCATGGCTGGCCTCTCCCGCTATCGCGGCAGCACTAAGGAGCAGTGAGCAGGTGGGAGGTAAGGAGCGAGGGGTCCCAGACTGCGAGAGGGCACAGGCCGGGCTGAGGGACCACTCCTCCAGTGCACGAATTTCATGCACCAGGCCTCTAGTGTTGAGTAAGAGTGCTGAGAGTGGGCATCCTTGTCTTGTTCTTGATTTTAGAGGAAAAGCTTTCAGGTTTTCACTGTTGAGTATAATGCTGGCTGAAGGCTTGCCATATATGGCCTTTATTATGTTGAAGTACTTTCCTTCTATTCCTATTTTATTAAGTGTTTTAATCATAAATGAATGTTGTATTTTATCAAATGCTTTTTCTGCATCTATTGATAAAATCATTTGCTTTTTACCCTTTCTTATGGAATGTGGTGTATTACCTTGATAGATTTGCATATGTTGAACCACCCTTGTGCCCCTGGAATGAACCCCACTTGATTGTGATGTATTATGATTATTTTTGAGGTATTATTGTATTCCATTTGTTAGTATTTTGTTTAGATTTTTACATCTGTATTCATTAGAGATATTAGTCTGTAGTTTTCTTTGTGTTATCCTTGCCAGGTTTGGTATCAGGGTTATGTTGGCCTCATAAAATGTGTTAGGAAGTATTGCCTCTTCAATTTTTTTGGAAGAGTTTGAGAAGGATAGGTTTTAAATCTTCTTTGAATATTTGGTAGAATTCACTGGTGAAGTCATCTGGGCCTGGACTTTTATTTTTTGGGAAATTTTTGATGGTTTTTTCAATTTCCTCATTGCTGATTGGTCTATTTAGATTTTCCAATTCTCATGATTTAGTCTCATGATATTTCTAGGAGTAAGTTTTCTTCTAATTGCTCCCATTTTCCTCAGAGAAACAGGATGTGAGGTCATGAGCTGAGAGTGAGGAGCAGGAGGAGGTGATAGAGGTCTTGCAGAAAGGAGAAGGTGGGAGAGAGAATGTACTAGGCAATATGAAGCGACTACTAGCCATCCAAGATCCACTCCAGGATCTTGGTCTGGCATTTAAAAATAAGATCACTTGTCCTTGCCCGGTTTGGCTCAGTGGATAGAGCGTTGGCCTGTGGACCAAAGGGTCCCGGGTTCGATTCCGGTCAAGGGCATGTACCACATTTGCAGGCTCTGCCCTGGCCTGGGCCCCAGTTGGGGCTGTACGCAGGAGGCAACCAATCGATGTGTTTCTCTCATATTGATGTTTCTCTCTGTCTTTCCCTCTCTTTTCCACTCTTTCTAAAAATC